CTATGAAAATACCCACAGGAGCTATTTACGATAATACATTTAATTGTTGTAGTAAAAAATTTCGTTAACACAATTTTTCTTCTTTCTTTTAAGTTCTGACCGACAAATTAATGTCACTGGTTCCGACTTGAATGGCATACATTCTCCTAAAATTAGATTGATATTCCAGGACAAAACTTATGTTGAAAGTGTGAGTCATAGGTTAAAAATACTGAATAAATCCCTGAATTATAACACATAACATATATGATATTTGTGATGTTACTCTGAGTATGCATCCACACCGGGCAAGCTGAAAAGTTAGCTTGGCCACGGTGGGAATCGAACCCGCGACCTTTGCGATACTAGTCCAATGCTCTAGTTCGACGCACACTCAGAGTAACATCACAAACATCATATTCACCTGAGTACATATCACCAACACTCCAGATACAACTCACTGTGTTAGCTGTGGTGAACAGCCTTTCAGGTTGTTAGTTTGGGCGTGGTACAATACATGTTTCTTTGATCTCTGCGACGCAGTTATTAGAGAGGTTATCTTAGTCGCATGATAAGAGTACATCCGAATACCAGAGATTTTATATACTCCTGTTTCTCGTTGTTACAATACTGGACCACAGATAGCTTTAAGGCTTGGGATTGGATAGATTTAAGTCTTTTGACGTTTAGGATTTGAGATTAGAGTTCAAGACTTAGAATTGAAGAATTAAGCAGATTATACAGCCCATACCTAATTCAAAAGTTAATTCAAAATATTTTTTAAATTTATATCATTGTGATACATGTGTTATTATATTGATTTCTTTCATCTCGTGTTATTTAGGTTTGTGGCAAACCCAGCTACGGTAACATGATCTGTCCTTTTCCAAATTTAACAAGAACCGTAACAGCTCATCTTCAAGCTGAACTCTCATTTTCCTTGGACGCGGTGACAACATGGGAGGTGTTCAGTGGATATCCAAATTTTAAATCAATGACCGTTGTTCCAGATCCAATTATAACTGGATTTGATGATGGTGTTTTTGTTTTAAAGACCCCAACACTCGAGATTAAGGTAGGCGTTAGAAGTTATTATAGTTAGATTTAATATAAATTGTAAACAAATTGGACTTTTGAAGCATGACTTTAGAGTTTTCGCGCAGTGTTAGCTGAGAAACCATAGATATAATAGATATAGAATGCGTACTCCTATCTTTTCTCAGTAAAAAATTTGTCTTCACAAAATGGCGGATTTATAAGGGCATTTTGGTTCCCAGACTCCCAGGCGGCAGGGAATTTCAGTGGGAATTTCGGGCGGTTGCAGAGAGTGCAAATTGTTTTTTCAAATGCAAAATTTGCAAAAATTTTATATCGGGACTTAAAATGGAAAAAAAGTGCAAAAAGTGTCTAAAAACCCATTCTAGTGGGCTTTTTTACGAAAAGCAACAGTTCTGAACAGAATATATACAGAAATCATCGTTTAAAAATAAATTTTCAACGTTGTTGTGCAAGCCAAACAAAACCCGAAAGATCAACACAAACTCAAACTCAATAGGTATGTTCTATTATTTCAACTCTTTTATAATATAAATGAAGTTCAATAATCTTTTTAAACGTACACAATTACTTGTCATATTTTTCTGTGTTGCTTGAGCTTGAGGCAACACTTTTGAAACCATAGTTTTCGACGATTATTTAGACAATTTACAGTCTATCGACAACTAAATAATTTTTGTTTCAAAAAAATAAAAAACCTTCGTTTACATCAAAGAAAAACGAAACCCGACGAAGAAAGAACTATTATTTTGTAATCTTATAAGATATTAGCAAAACAGTGTATAGTGACGTTCAAAGCATGCAAAAATGTTTGATGAGTAAATTTCGAGAAACCGGCGAAAATACTTTGTTTACAAGGCTGCACGATTTTCACCGTTTTTGTATAAACTGCACATTTGCTTTGACAGTTTGTGCCTTCAAAAAATCTCAAAATCTATCCCCAAACTACAAATTAGACAACAAGATAAATGTTTTAACGATGAAAACGTAGTTTTAGCTTTGTTTATACTTTGTAGTTTGCACTCCTAGTCAAATTCAAACATGGCGGATTGATAAGGGCACGCATGAGAAAAAGTGGAGACATGATTCGTGATCAAGTACGCATTCTATATCTATTATTTCTATGGTTCTACCACTCCTCTCAAAGTGGCAAAAGGACACGCCAGACTTTTGGCCCGCACGTGATCAGTCTCGAGTTCGGAAAAAGCTAAGAACAAACTCTTACTTGCGCGGTTGTTAGAAACGATAGCGGGTTTATTTACGTCAAGTCCCAATTCGCCGCTATCAAAGGTTTCAGGAAAAGGGATAATGTATTTTCACTAAACAAAATTAATAAAAGTGAGATCAGCGTATTTCAAAAGTTACATTTTAATCTTGTCACTCTTGTTTAAGTATGAATTATTTCTGAAAAAATTATACAACTGTACATGTATACGTTTAAGTTAAGATAATAAATAACTGCGGGTGTATAACTGTATGACTTCTATCATCCAAATTAGATTACCAAAAGATATACCTTGAACAAATTACTCACTGCAGTTCATGAATCTGCGTCATAACATATATAAGCATTAATTAATTAATCATGCCAAAAATTATTTTTGTAAGTTTTATAAGTCCCTGCAACTTGTGCAACAATTAATGCTATATTAAGAAATCAAAATATATTATTCTGACGATTACGTTATAGACAGTGCCAAGTTTTTTAAAATGGTAATGATGAGTGATTTATAAGCGTGCACAAAACATGTTAGTGAATTAAATTTATACAAATATGTTTATTCGCAAATATTAATACGAACCACCAAAACTCTGAAACAACAGTGGCAAGTTGGTCGGTTTGAAAGACAATAGGAGCTGAAATAGCCGACCAATCACTTCGTGTCAGTTTCCCACGAACAGAGGCTGCCACGGATCAGCGATCACTCTAAAACAAAAAGGCACGACATTTTAAAAAGTTTGCCAACCTTTTTTAAAATGTCTGCCTTGTGACGTGGTTTGCGGATAAAAACAATCATTTGGCCAATTAGGCAAGCCAAATGGCTGTGCGGGGTTTTCCTTTATCCTCAAACTAGATCTCAAGGCAGATTTTTTAAAAAAGTCTATTGAATCACGTATTCGCGTGAAAACAGGTGGGAAATTTGTCGTCGCTGACCAAAAAATCGCGGGCAGAAACAAAGCTCATTGCATTTACATTCAAAACAAAGCAGAAAGTTAGCAAGAAGCTGTTCTAGCTGACAATTTTTTGCTTTCCATTCAACGATTGACAAATTAACGGTTATTCTTTCAAAAGTCGACTATGAATTCTTTGTTTTGGGATGATTTGTTTTGTAATCGAGTGATTGGAAGAAGTTAATATGGCGACGTGAACATGGGAGTAAATACCGTATACGTCGATCTGTCGCTTGTTTAAAACCAGAATAGACGAAGAAAGACGTGATATGAGAATGAAATGTAAGTTGAAATTAACTTTATATGCCTCAAATTTTCCATCCTATGTTTCTTAATGTAACTTCAGCTGTCTAAGTTCGAAATACAAGCTCGCGAAATTTGACAAATTTTGAAAATATGTAAAAATAGCTTGACTTTGAACTGTATTTTCTCAAAAATAGCCCGTGGCCTCAATTTCAAATACAGCTAAATGAAAAGAAAAAACTTTTCGGCGTTTGTAGGTATCAAACATATCGTCAGGAAAATAGGGGCTCACAATGTTTTAGCTGAGTCTTTGAGACCCCGTTGCTTCGCACGTGTTGTGGTCAAATTTTTGCCAAGAATCAAAGGCCGAAATGTGAACTTCCTTCATGAAAACCGGCTGGAGAAGGGTCTAGTTTGAAAATTTAGCTATTAATTTCGATTTCATGAGCATATTTTGGTTACACGTTAAATATTTTTGTACTTAATGAGATTCTAAATTTGTTGTATATTCAAGCCCGGCTTTAGTGTAATTTTGGTGATGACCGGAACGGAAATAAATATATTTTAAAAACTGGCCGTGGCCTCACGATAAAACTTTCTAAAAATGTTCTCTGCTTCATGTATTGTTATTTGATATCTTAGGTATAAGCGTAAAAATAGGGGCTCATACAGTTTACGAGGTTGAAAAATGCATTACTTGCCTCTATTTTCATGTAAACATTCGAAATTTTTCGACAGCAAAGTAGCAACTGTTTCAGATCGAATGCACACGG